GTGTTCAGAGGTTTTACTGGGGCTCCATTGTGCAGACATGGTTGACTAATAGACTAGTAGATTATCCATATGGTTGTCTGATTGACTGATTGACTGATGTTACTAATCCAAAGACCTGCACCACATCTTTCTGGCATGGTTAGTCCCACACTGTTAACACTATTCAGTAAAACTAAAAAGCCCTATCTAAGGTATTAGAGTATTAGAGATTATTTTCCAGAAGCTTAGGGAAGAAGCCAGGCCTCTTTATTGGCAAGGCCAACTACTTGTACAAAAATGAAGCAGGTCAATAATGTAGTACTTAATATGTGTCCCAAATAGTATAGTATTTTACAGCGCATTTAGCTAAACTACTTGACTCCTCTCTGAGCTAGACTTATATATTTACTGCCATGGGGAAAAAACAAAAATGTGATTGGGTGAAATGTCTGATAAACATCTTAATCGATTTGAAATGCAATAACCAAATAACATACACTGGATTACTTACAAACTGCAGAAATTTATTTAAATCCATTTTGGAGGCTGGAAGTCAGAGATCATGGTGCCAGTACTGTACAGACTGTTGACTTGTCATATGGGACAAAGAGGGCTGGAGAACTCTGTGAAACATGTTTCACAAATGTGCTAATGCATTCATGAGAGTTCCACCTTCAAAAATTAAATATTTTCCACAGGATTCCCTTTGCTAATACCATCATCTTGGGCACTAGGATTTCAAGAAAGGAATTTGGAGGGCACACAATCATTGAGGCCATAATAACAAGTGAGACAGTTTTGTAAAACTGTCAAAATTCAGTCCTTTATAAGTTGGAAATGTGATTTCATAATTAAGGGACTGTTTGGTTTAAGTGTTAAGGTTGATTTCTCAATTTAGATGATATGCTGTTCAATGGATAGAGGGGTCATGTGCATTTAATACACAATATGCATTAAATTTGAAATACAATTAGATATTATAGTATAAATGATTGAATAGAGGTCTAATTTTGGCTCATGTTTTAAGGGGAATTCAGGCCATGATCAGCTGACTCTGAGGCAGAAACATCATATGGGTGGGATGTGGTGAAGCAAAGCTGCTTAGTTCATGGTGGCCAGGAACCAGTGCAGGGGAACAGTGCCAGAGAGGAAGAGGTAAGGGACCAGATACAGACCCCAAGGCAGTGCTTACCCTGACCCACCCAGACACAATCTGTAGTGTGCCCCACCAATCCCCATGGCAGATCTCAAAGCCAACCAAAGTGATACTCTATCCTTATCACCACAATTATAGAATTCCTTAAGTATCTCTAATCATAAAACTACTCATTAATGACTTACCATATAAAACTAATTAATGGCTTATACGTTTTGTAAAATAAAATCTGAGCAAATAAACATTCACTAGTAGGGGGCTGGAGATGTAGCCTGGGGCAGAGTGTTTGTCTAGCATGCACAACACCCTGGGTTCAATCATCAGTACTGAAAAAATAATTACAAGGGAAAAATTAATCAAATTCAAATGACTCTATTTGCTTACTACTTCTCTCATTTAATTTTTTACTTTTTTCCAGCTTCGCAAAAAATCTTTCTTTTTGAAGGAATTTATTCTGTATGCCAAGGTAGTACACATTTTTTATATTTTTAAAAAAGATTCCTGGGTCAGGGATTTAGCTCAGTGGTTCTGCTGCCTGCCTTGTAAGCTCAAGGTCCCGAGTTCGATCTCCGGAATCACCCCCCCCCCAAAAAAACCAAAAAAGATTCCTAAAAGGTGAATTAATGTAATGTAGAAAATAACACCGAAAAAAGATGCATTAGGCCCCTAGGAATAACCAGTTAAAACCATCTGACACCATTTCTATTCAGAAAATGTCCATCTGTCAAATAGGTAAGGGGGCTTTTGTGAATCAGGAGTATGAGGTCCAGGCAGCATGGATCACCCCTTAGCCATCGCAATAGGCAAGACTAGCTGATTTTGAAGACAGGCCAGTAGCAACCATGGCTCCTTTAGATTTACCATTAAGTACTAGTGATATACCGTTATACTGGTGACCTAGGCTCTCAAAAATACAGAAATTATCATCCCCAGTATGAAGTTATTAAGAAATCTAGATGAAGATTTGTATTCATCAGTGCAGCCTTCACATCTCATTGAGAGGCCAAGTGGGAACATGATGTCCAAGTCGTGGTATATTGTCAAACACCAAATGATGGAACACTATATAAAGACCAAGTAACCAACAATGTAGAAGCCTCCTGCAGCAGAAGGGGGCATCCAGAGTGCATGCCACATAATATATTAGACTCCAGTGCATATTCCTTGAAAATAAAGCCAGGTTTAGCTCTTTGTGAAACATTTGAAATGTGGTATCAAAAAAAAAGAAAGTGCTACATTATACTGATTCTTACAAGTGTTCTCTTCCAAATTTGACTATATTTCTCAGTGCCAAGTGTGAATTTCAAGTACATACAGGCTGCCTTGATACAGAGGTAATCAGTATGTACACAATAGTGGAGGCCTCTTACTTAAAGGTTGCTAAGTAGGACACAGGCATGGAGTAAAACCTTCACAGGTAAAGCTAAAATCATCAAGTCTCAACATGCACACCTGCTTGCTTGCTAAGGACAATGAGAAAATGATCTCTTCCTACTCATCTTCAAATTTAGTATGGCAAGGTACTTGTGACTAGCATTAAGCAAATTTGCCTTTTCTATTTTTCTTATGTTTACACAGCCAAATTTCAGTGTGCTGCAGCCACTGGTTCTGCTAGCACTGGCTCATGGAAGCAGGTTCTGTTCATCACACTCCATTTTTTAATTCAGTAAAAATCACATTAGTGTATGAACTTGATGATGGAGGAGTATTTCTATCACCTAAATCAGTAAACACTATAAATCTCCCCATCTCCAAGACTCCACCATGAACACCATTAGCAAATATCAAACACCACTGCACTTCCATACTGTGTACTTGTGCAACGGATTACACAATTTGCAAAAGAAAAAGGACAAAACAGTGAACAAACAGGCATAGTTATTATTCTCATATATTTTAAAGAATCTTATAGCTGTCTTGCCTCATTCTTACCTTGTTTTGTTTAATCTCTACTTACATTTTCTATCCATTCTTTAAGCTATTGATATTTTACATTGTGTTAGTGTCTCCTTTTCCTAAACTTCTGCTTACATTTATCAAAGTAACAAATTTAGAAAATAAGAAAAAAAATCTAAAATTTTTTCCTGACTCGTCTTCTCAATTATATTCCAAGCTACTTCTAAGAAGACAAGTTTTACATTTGGAGGGTCAAGTTTTGCCTTGCACAATGCACATTTTGGGTAACAAGAATATGGAGGTAAAGAAACACTTAAAATCTTGGAATTGAGAAAAATGCTTTTAATATTTAACATTTAAATATCTTGGTTTAATACACTTCCCACTTTAATATTTATAGCACTAGGAAAAGGAGTATAAATGGGAGATCCAGTATGGCCATCTCTGTCCTCTTTCCATCCTCTGAATCTGTCCTGTAACTGCATGTCACTTTGGTCTGTACTGGTCTACTTACAATATTCAGAGGAATAAAAAGCTGTGTCAAGTCTCCAGTTGCCTTGTATTAAAAGACCAGGATTCCAAATTCGGTAAAATGGGCTTTAGGTGATCTTTGAGGCTCTTCTCATGCATATACCACACACTCTGGGCTCACATTATGCCATTCACCTCCTCAAATCACAGTCATACTGGCTTTACTTTTTATTCCATATTCCATTCCCCTGCTCACTCTGTTTGGTAAAATTATGATATATTATTATTATTACTTAGATCGTCTCCTAGATTTGTAAGCCCAGTAGGACTGTTTGTTTTTTCTTCATATTCCAAGAAGTATACAGGAACTATATAAGAAAAAGTAGAAAGAAGAAATGAAGGAAGAAGGGGAAGGAAGCAAATTTCTAACCAATTTGGGAAAGTTCTCCATGCTGGGAGTTTTTATTTTCCTATTCTAATATAGATGTTGTGTAAAATTCTACTCCTTTAATGGCAAAGAATATTTTGTAACAACTGTTTTTCTTCTCTCTTACTGAAAGAGTAAGCAGAATATATTCATATTGGAAGGATTTTGTAAGCACAATATCAGGGATTTGTGAAATAACACAAAGGAATAAAGAAGCAAAAAATACAAGTAGTGTTTGAAAACTATTCATAAATTCTCTTTTCTCTTTTTTCACTTTTTGTACCTCCTGATCCAATTCCTAATATTATTAAATAATCTAATATTAGAAAGAAAACAAAAAAAAGCATTAAAGTCAGTAAGATATAAAAGATTACTAAAAAAATAAACACTTGTATAAAGTTTGTAGCAGCTTTAACATTTAAAAATGCAAATAGTTTTAAGTTAAAAATTTTTAGTTGGAGCGGCCGGGGATTTACCTCAGTGGTTCTGGCGCCTGCCTCAGAAGCACAGGTCCCGAGTTCGATCCCCGGTACCAAAAAAAAAAAAAAAAAATTAGTTGGTATGTCAATTAATTTTGTGGATGACATTTGATAATAAAATCATTCAGGTCAAATACATAAGTTTCATATTTATAAAACAATTATCAAGCAATATGTATAACAAATACTTTCGCTTTATTCCTCTCTCCACTACTCTTCACGACTGTCACCCCAGTGCTCATGCCAAACAATTGCTTTATGCAGGGAAGGTGGTCACCTACTCTTCTAGATACAATGATCCATCCATGTACACTGTCAGTGAAATACTGGGGCTGCAAAAATGGGTTATTTAGCCAAATTAGAAAGAGAATATATAGAATTGGAGGAAAATTTCTTTAAACTGTAGAATTTTTTCCATTAGGCAAAGCCAAAGGTCAACATTCCAAGCCCAAAATGGGAAGCAAGAAATGGCTTCTATGACATTGCAGAGAGGCCACATTATGGTCAGCAAGAAATGGCTTTTGTGACGTTATAGAGACGCCGCATTCCTTAGGTAGCTCCCTGTGGACCCCTACACCAGCCTCCATGTTGGTAAAGCCACTTGCGCAGGCGCAGAGTTCTCCTTAGCGTAAGATTGACAGGTTGTGTCTTCGACTGTGGCCAGACTCTATGGTTTCTGCAAAGAATGATGGGTAACGGATATAAAGTGCGGTTTGCGCAGTTACGTCCCTAAAAACCGCACAGCTACGGTTCTTGTGGCTGCGATGGGTCGCCGTCCTGCTCGCTGTTACCGGTATTGTAAGAACAAGCCATATCCGAAGTCTCGTTTCTGCCGAGGTGTCCCTAATGCGAAGATTCACATCTTTGACCTGGGTCGGAAGAAGGCAAAAGTGGACGAGTTCCCACTGTGTGCCCAAATGGTGTCGGGTGAATACGAGCAGCTGTCATCGGAAGCCCTGGAGGCCGCCCGCATTTGTGCCAACAAGTACTTGGTGAAAACGTGCGGCAAAGATGGCTTTCACATCCGAGTACGGCTCCATCCCTTCCACATCATCCGCATCAACAAGATGTTGTCCTGTGCTGGAGCTGACAGGCTGCAGACGGGTATGCGAGGTGCCTTTGGGAAGCCCCAGGGCATTGTGGCCAGGGTCCATATTGGCCAAGTCATCATGTCCATCCGCACCAAGCCGCTGAACAAGAAGCACGCGATTGAAGCTTTACGCAGGGCCAAGTTCAAGTTCCCCGGACGCCAGAAAATCCATATCTCCAAGAAGTGGGGCTTTACCAAGTTTAATGCTGATGAATTTGAAGAGAAGATGGCTGTGAAGCGCCTCCTCCCTGATGGTTGTGGGGTCAAGTACGTCCCCAGTCGCGGCCGGTTGGACACGTGGCGGGCACTGTGCTCATGAGGGCTTCCCTGGACCATGATCCCCCGGACCATAAGTCTGACTTAAACTTGCCAATAAATTCTGTTCACTGGCAAGAACAACAGCTACAAAAAATTATAGAAACAGTTATCTAGTTTTAGAATATAGACTGCTAGAGAAATAGTGTTTATGTTAATATAGCATGTTTTAATGGAAAGTGCTTTCTTGAAGTAAGAGAAATTTTTATGCCATTTATAGAAAAACTGTTGCTATTCTGATCCGAACCTTTTAAATGCATGAGAATATTTAAAAATATGCTAAAAGTTTTGTTTGTAGTAAGGTCATAAATTATAGTAGTATTTGTAGTAAAGTCAAAGTATAATAGCTATCATTTTGGATTAAAACAGCTAGAGAAAACAAAATTTGTGTGAAAAAAATTCTTATTGTACACAGAAGGCTAAAGAGTAGGGATGAAAATAGTGGTTGGCATTAGTGGTAATTCAGCTACAACCTCGGAAGCTAATTAATCTTATTTCTAAATTTGATTGTTTATGTTTTCCTATAAACTTCTGTATATTAGTTTTAGAATTACCTATCACCTCTGATTATCAGCCTTTGGACAGTTGAGTATGCTGAAAAAGGCTTTTCTAGACAAGCCTTACATTATCTTATACTCAAGAGACAACAGTCCAATCTTTTCTTCATCACTGGAAGGTCATAGGTGACAGCAGAGTTCATATTGCTTGTATTTGGGGCTCAGTAGAATCCATAGAAGAGAGAAAATGACACTTAATCAGCTATCTGTGCTCTAAGAGGACCCTAGTGAGACTTTGATATCTGTAGTTGTTTGCCCTACATTAGAGTTACATTGATCACAAAGGTGATTTTTGTTTTATTTTAGAAACTACATAAATTTCCTGGGTATTTACTTTTTTTTTTTTTTTTTGCCACTGTTATTGTTCTTGTTCTTTAAGTGGATTTACTCTTATGGGTCTCAATCTTGAAAATAGTACAATTTTCTTCTACTAGCCACATTTTTAGAGTCAACACATTTAATGAAAGCAACAGGGGTACAAAACATCCTGGAAACACTGTGGTTTAAATAGTTTCCCTTTACTTAAATTCCTTTGTCAATCCTAACAAATTGCCTTTGGCTTGATAATTCTTTTAAGATCTTCATGTAAGATATTTTGGCTGTAATTTTTAAGCTAGGTTGTTATTGTAAGCAATAATGTTTGACATCTCACAAATAAACTTGAGAAGATAACAAATACTAAATAACTTGAATATATTGCAAGGCGTTTCAGCCTGAGAAGCACCTTCCATGGTGTGTTTTTCCAAATTCCTGAAATTGCCTAGGAAATTAAGTCATATCCAATTAGCAAATGAAGGTAGGCCTGAGCCAGATCTTTTGAGCCCTGTCACATCTTGCTTCTGACTTACTCTGCTGAATCCCAATAAAAAGCCCTCAAAAATCCAAAATACAAAAAAAGGCACAACAAAACAAGCGGTTACTTAGTCCATCCAGCTTTGAAAACATTTCCCAGCTTCAATAGTCACTCTTCTGTATTTTCTCAACCCTTTCAAACATCTTAACTCTGTATTTAGTATGTATATAGGGATAAGCTATGAATTTTCTTGCTCTGAAAAATTGATTAACTATGATGGTATATATATATATATATATGTATATATATATATATGTATATATATATATATATACACACACATGGGCTAGGGCCATAGCTCACAGGTAGAGTACTTGCCTAGCATATGCAAAGCACTGGGTTGGATCTCCAGCACCACAAAATGAGTGATAAAAAATAATAGGGGATTAAAAACCTCCAATTTGTATTACAAAAAATTATTTATAATTTTTTAATAAATTTCTTTAATGTTGATATAAATATATTTTCACTTATTTTTTAAATATCCTATTATGCCCTCCAAAGCCACAATTTTATTATCCACATTTTCTTATTTTAGAGTTGTTCTCCTAATTTAAAAAGTGATAAGCTGAAGGAAAATTTAATCATATTTTGGAAAGCTCATCATTAGTTTAAAATTTCTACTTAAAAATTTAATTTGGAAACATTCATATATTGTATTCATACACTAATGCAACAAAACAGAATTATTTGTCCATTTGAAATACAGAAATGAATACAGTTAACTAAATACAAGGAAATATTGCCCAATACAAAATTTGAATTAGTTGATTGAGTCTCCAGGTTTTATGGAAAATACCCACTAAAGGCAAAGAAAACTAAGTTAAGGTAGGACTATTGCACTGTACTGTTAGTTTTGAAAATTCATTTCATAAATGATTATTATATACCATTTCTACACCATCAAAACATGGTATTAAGCATATTTAGCTTGGAGCCTTGCATGAATTGGTTGCAACTACCATTGCAAGAAATTTTTTTTACTCATATTGCCTACTCTGTAATTCAAGATTCTAGTTGAGCTTTCTGATTCTGCCACTACTGACAGATCATGCTAAGACATTTAGTCTCAAGCCTCATGTACCATTACATTATTATATTTTTTGTGTGTATGGTAGAATAATGAATTCATTTAAAATAAACCTATCATTTTTAAAAGCAAGTAATGTAGAAAATAATGAGTAAAGTAATAAATGAAATAATACCTTCAATTATGATTCAAAATGAGGTTATTGTCATAATTGATAGTGGATAGAAAGGGAAGGTTTGTTGTCAGGATGACTAGATTTAAGCCTCAGCTTCTTCACTACCTTGGACAAATTACTTAATATCACTACCCTTTAATTTTGTCATTTGTAAAGGGATTAAGACACTTTAATTATAGGGATGTTTTTAGGATTAAATGAGATTATATATTGAGAAAGGGATAGCATTGTGCTTTGCATGTATTAAAATACATAAAATTCAGGATTACTTGTTAATATTAACATAATTACATTTGTTCCTACCTCACTAATGCTCAACTCCAAATTTTTAGCATTTTTATCACTTTTTGAATGATTTATGGCCTTATTCTGTGTTGAAACCATAATTCCTTCCACCTAAATATACCTGATTTATAGATTTAATTGGATTAATTATTTAAGGTTTTTAATCTTTAGTTTTGTATTTTCTATTTTTATGTCATTTTATTTGTTCTGATATATTTTGGAGCTTCTTCTGAAAAAAATTAATTAGTATTATTTATGTATGATTCAACTATGGGGATTTGCTTTATTTCTCACCCTTCCTTTTCATTTTGCAAAAGTTTAGGTATCTGACTGTCATGTCATTATTACCATACTTCTTGTGTATGATGTAAACTGTTCTTGCCAGGCCTTCTATTTATTCTAAAGTTGGGCATGAATTTCTCTTTAACTTTTCACAAATTTTTTATCTTTGTTGATGTTGTTATCTAGCTTTCTCTGAGTGCAATAGTTTAAGGCTGGATATTGCTGTCCACTTGCCCACAGCTTAAGATAAAAGGATAGATTATAGAATCTGAAGAGTCAATGTATTTATTAGCTTTCTCATTGCTGGCCATGGTACCCATAAAACATTTATCTTAAAGAGGCAAAAGATTAATCTGGCTCATGTTTTAAATGGATTCGGTTTATGTTTAGCTAGATCCAAGACAGGTAAATTATGGTAGAAGGGGATGGCAGACCAAAGTTGCTTAGTTCATGGCAGCTGAGAAGTACAATAAAGGAAAAGTGCTAGATAAGAAGGGTGGAGGAACAGATATATACCCCGAGACTACACTTCCATGACCCGCCCCCCCCAACAAACCTACAAATCTCTTGGCCAAATTATAAATCCAATCAAGTTGATGCTGCACTCTGTCACATCCCACTCTTGTCTACTTCATATCCAAACATATCTCCTTAAATTGTATAATCTCCAAATAAGATAGTATCAAGTGCATAATTTCTGCCTAACATAACTATCTTGCCTACAACTGGAAACCCAACAAGCCCTCCCTCAAAGTCTCAAAATTCCTGTTTTTCAGAAATCCAATTCCATGTCTCTTCTGAGACACAAGGCAAACTCTTAGCTGTAAACCTCTATAAAAATTTTGAAAAATACATAATTCCAAGGTATAATGGCAAGGGGTAAACATTTCCATTCCAAAAAAGAGAACCATGGGATAGAAAAGAATAATACAAAAGTGAGAATTCAATTAGGCAAATATTCAGTCCTGTGTCTCCATATCTGCCATCTGGGGCTCAGTGGTAGTGAAATATGAATTCTAAAGGGCTTGAGTGGCTCCACCCCTATGATTTTGCTAGTTGCAGCAGCCACGTGTCCTCTCTCTTGAGCTGGCACCACTCACAGCTGTAGATGTTCCACATCCTCTGCAGATGCTCCACATTAGTGACATCTCTGACATCCTGGAGTCTCTACTGACCTTTGGCATCACTCAATTGCACACTTCCCTCTCAGGGGCTCTTTATGTGTCTTCCCAGGCTTCCCTTTCAGATTTGGGTGGAAGTCTCTACAATTGCACAACACTTTCATTCTGCACACATGACCAACCAGCATCACATGGGCAATGTCAAGGTCTGCTGTGAGAAGGAGTAGTATCTGGTCCCCTTTGAACCATGTTTGTAGCAGTCTTTGAGTGCCTGTGTGGATGAATATAATGAAATGCTTCCTGGGGAACCAATTATCTAGGAGGCCATTCTTGAGAAGGGGTCCCAGGGACTGTTTTCTCCCATAAAAAAGATTAACATTTTCCACAGTTGAGCCTGTGATGCACAGGAGCTTGCTAATTCCTGAGATGCCCTCAAGATTCCATTCCTCCCATCCCTGTACAAAGTGTGTGGTTTCTTTTTAATGGCATTAACCTCTTAAGCATCAGCTTCATTTGACCTTAATTTTATATATGCTTCCTTCTGAGCCAAAATTTAATTTCTTCATATTCTTTTGCTTTGCCTTTTTGTTCCAAATTCTCACCATAAATCTGGCTAAAAGCAGCCAACAGTACACATTCTAGGACTTCTTATGGCTTCTTTGAAACTGCATCCACCAGATTGGTCCACCACCCTTAATCTCTAGCCAAGCCTCATTACATGGGCAAATTTAAACACATTTTCTGCCAGAGCATAACATAAATACCCTCTACTCCAACTGCCAATGGAGTCTTTGTTCCCAAATGAAAATTTTTGATTCTAACCTTTACTGTATTAGCATTCTGGTCTTCTGATCTCTGACCAGACTCATGCATCCAGCTCTGCTTACAACATTCTAATGCTTCTTTAGCTTGCATCTCCAAAACTTTCTGAACTCCTCCTACAAATAAATTCCACAGGCTTCTAAACCATACCATCAGCTATATCACAGCAACAAGCTCATTTCTTTAGTACAAATTTTATGAATTAGTTAGGTTTCCTATTACTGGACACAATAACTGACATCCACAACTTAAAGGAGGAGATGTTGAATTTAGCTCATTTTTTAAAACAGAATTCAATCTATGGCCAGCTGAATCCAAGGCAGATGTATCATGGTGAAAAGACCTGGAGGAGCAAAGCTGCTTAGTTCAAATGGCTGAGAAGCAGAAGACAGGAATAGTATCAAAAAAGGTCAGATGTAGACCCCAAGACTGTGCTCCATGACAAATGCAGACACACCCACTAGTCTACTCCACCAATTTTCCATAGCGGATCTCGAAGTCAATCTAGTTAACTGTAAACTTTAATTGCCATAGTGAAGTATAATGTATACCTTCTGATGGATTCTATTCCTCTTCTGAAATTCCATTGTATATATTATACCAACACCATCTCCACTCAATCATGTGTGTAGCCCGCATTCCTAAATGTAGTATATTTCTTATCCTTGACCTGCTGCTTTGGAAAATAGCATTCCCAGTTGCTGAATATCTTTGGCATCAGTTGGGCTTCCACTAGTTCATGGATTCTCCTACAATTTTCACTTGTGTATAAGTGTATGCTGAGTACATTTCTCCTCATAGTAGGGAATTATTGAAACATTTATTTGTTTCATTTGTTTTTCAGGACTGATTCTAACTGATTAGGCTGTTTTGAAAACGTACATTCTATAAGTGCTCTTTGTATAATTGACCATTCCTTCATGACTCACAATATGGAGTTACACTAAATATATTTAGTCATATGTCTTTAATTTTAAAAAATTCTTTCTGTCATGTTACATAGAAATACTGTAATTTAAGGTCATCTTTTCTCTTGAATTCAGGATATGCATAAGTCACCTTTTCCTTGGCTGCTTTGGGTTATATTTTTCACTGTGATTTTTTTATTATATACTGAGAAAGAGATTTCTTGATCATGTTTTATATAAGCTTATTCACCTAGAAGTCTTCTTAATACCACAATAAAAACTAGCTGCTTCTGGAGACCTTAATATGTCAAAGTATTCATGTAAAAACTCTATACTTCCACATATTTGTAATAACTTCTAGTTACCTTTTATTAATATGAATCTTAAATAATTGTAGCTAAATATTACCAAGATAAGAAAATTTTAATATCAGTTTAAAAAATCTTGTGATCATGTCCATAGAGAATGTTAACAACTTTCATTATTTTATAAATTATTAGCTAATCATGACCTCCACATAATTAGTTTTATAAATTAAAGACTTTTTAGATCAGGAGGTATTTTTGTGCTCCAAATAATTTTTGAAAACAGTATTATATTTACCATATAAAATATTGCGTTTGGACAACTATGTTATTTAAATCTTCAAGAGTACTACTCATGAAAATTTTGTT